ACAGCGGAATCAATGTCCTCTTTGTTTAGCGCTTAGTTCCAGTCAATGTCTCTAAGATCTTTGAGAAATTCCTGCTTTGAGTAGTGTTTGTATGACCGGTATTCAATGCGCTAAACAAAGAGGACATTTTTTGCTAAATTACCCTTACTGCTGCTTAGCAGTACCGCCCTCTGTTTAAGGGTAGGTGTTATATAGCTAGAAAATATGGGCTCCTTTTGTTCACCCTTATTCACTAGTGGTGCAGTTATTACAGTAGCATGATCTGTTTGTTTATCGACAGTTTTCATTTTTTTTACTCCCAGGTAGTCCACAATAAGATCTACCTTGGTTTCAATGTCTGTTATTTTCTCGTAAAGTTTCTGAAGTGTCAAATTTTCTGTTGGAGGATTGTTATGTGTGACTGTCCAGTCCAGTTGGTTACCAGTTTGTAAAGTACATGTATCTGTCTCGTCTCATGGTGTCACTGATAAAGTGAATGTGTTTGTCACGGGTACTGTGGTGTTGAGTAGTGGATTCAAAATGCTGAATGGGTCAGTTGTGGATTGTGTTGTAGTGTCAGTGGATGTGTTTGTCAGGGGTACTGTGATGTTGAGCAGTAGGTTGAATGCGTCAGTTGTGGATTGTGTTGTTGTGTCAGTATATGTGTTTGTCAGGGGTACTGTGGTGTTGAGCAGTGAGTTGAATGCAGCAGTTGTGGATTGTGTTGTTGTATCAATATATGTGTTTGTCAGGGGTACTGTGATGTTGAGCAGTGGGTTGATTGTCTCAGTTGAGAATTGCTTTGTGTCAGTATATGTGTTTGTCAGGGGTACTGTGGTGTTGAGCAGTGAACTGAATGCAGCAGTTGTGGATTGTGTTGTAGTGTCGGTGGATGTGTTTGTCAGGGGTACTGTGTTGTTGTGCAGTGGGTTGAATGACTCTGTTGGGAACTGTGTTGTTGTGCCAGTATATGTGTTTGTCAGGGGTACTGTGATGTTGAGCAGTGGGTTAAATGCATCAGTGGTGGATTGTTTTGTAGTGTCAGTGGATGTGTTCGCTGGTGGTGGTGTGACTGTACATTTGTCCCCTTCTTTCTGCTGAAGGAAAAGTTGCAATTGCTTTTGCACATATAGGTTTTCTTCGATGCTCAGATTTGTGTATTGGCAAGGTGCCCCACTTCCAAGGATTTTTGCTTTCTGAAAGGAAATAAAGTAATTCAGCAAGTATGAAAGACTGGTTACTCTTAAATTTCAGTAAAGGTGTCTGTCAAAGGATTATGGCCACTGTCTAATAGTTAGAATTTCACATATTCTACCTTCAAAAATTAACAGGATTAGAAAATGTTCAAGAAATTGTACACACTACAATTGATCACTTCAAGGTCATTACATCTTCAAAGAGCATTTGGCCTACATCATGTGCACCAATGGTTATCACGTTTAATATAGATGGGACCCTGCACGCGCTCTGATTGGTTGAAAACCTATGTTTTATCAGAGTGTAATACACAGCTTAGGCTTCTTTATGTGTTAAATAATGCTTGTGGCTTATCTCACAGATTTCAGATCATGTGATCTCCAGAGCATTTTTATAGGCCATAGTTTGTACATTGATGAGTTCTATAAGAACTTGAGAATTTTTAAGAACACCAGAGAAATGAATAGAGAAAGACTCAACTGCACCTTTTGCTTCTCAGTGCACTTTGATGTTCTTGAAAATTTCATGCATGCTTATGTAACTCAACAATGCTCTCGGGTGTGTTCATTGTATTGCCTTATATGAAATTAGACTTTCTATTGATTGCACAAGTCATTTTGAAATGTGAAATTTTAAGAATATGTTGTTTATCATGAAAAATATCAATAGCAATTCATATTGGTTTTAGAGCTCATATTCCTTAAGCTCGTATGTTTGGCACATTAAATTTTCATTCTCGGTGTCACTGCTCAAATTATATGCTATTGCGGTGCCTAGAGAGTGGCAGGTCTCTTAAAAAAGATAAGGGCACTGTTAAGTCCATTGAAAGGTGATTAAAAAGATACCATCTTTCTTCTGACTCCTCTTTAATTTAGAGCACTGCAAACCAGCAAGGGGTATTTTGATATTTACCTATTGTCTTGGGTTTAAGGTGGCTGGTTACAGTCTCTAGCTCTTTCCAGAAGTCATTCTTTGACGGGTTAATTCTACAACTCTTAACTAAGGGATGTGTTTTAAACTTTGCGAAAAGTTTTGTCCTATCATGCTTATCACAATTCAATACCAGTGAGCCGCTTTCCGGTTGTAAGCCCTGGAGCTAAAGTTAGGGGTGCTTTTAATAGGTGGTATTGTACTCTCAAAATCACATTTAGTTTTGTATTGCGATTTAATCATTCTTTAAAAAAAAAACCGAAAGAAAACGTGATAGTACTTCGATTAAAAGATAAATTCCCAGTACGCGCGAAGAACTGGCACTCAATGAAGTTTTCTGTTTCTCGGCTTACTTGAATATTTCGACTTTTAAGCCCTGAGTTCCTTTCAGAAACTACACAAATTCACATAGTCTATGTGATTGAAGTTTTCCAAAGTATCATGCAATGAAAAAGCCGACGAATTTGCACAGATTTATCTTTATTCAAACTCATAAACTTTTCAAAAAATGATTTCGTTGTGAGCTACTCGCGCAGTAACTCACAAACCAACAACTTTGAGCGATTAAAAACAGTTACCTGCCTTCATTGCCTACATAAAGCTCCCATTTGCATTAAATAGCTCGTAGAGATGATGTAGTGTGCAATAAAAGTTGTCTGAACAGTGCAAATTGAAACGGCAACAAGTAAAAGATTAGGGACGATTCATTGTTGTGAAATTCCAAACAGGTCGCGAGGAACCCATTTCAGTGCCGCATTGTTATGGCAACTTTTCAACCAATCACGCGCGGTAAAAGTAAGATGACAGTACCGTATGCCAAACCACAATCGTGAAGTCGATCGTGATACATTTGCAGCATCAATTGATAAAGAACGGCAGGATTAGTCATGACCCGTCAAAGTATAACTGCTGAAAAGTGCTAGAAACTCTAACAAGCCACCGTAAGAATCACGGAAACTGTCATGTTAAATGGTTTAAATAGTGGTCTTATGGGGTAAGTTGGTTGACATCGCCTCCATTGGATTTTGAATTACAACGTTGCACAAGTCGGGTTTGTTGTTAAGAAACAGCAAATTCTTATTTGTATCAGGAATTACCACCAATGTTGTGTTTTAGTACCTTACCATGTTCTTGTGAATCTCTTTTCTCCTTTTTTTTCGTTCTTTTTGTTGTTTTTCCTTTTTCATTCTTGTCAACATTAACACCTTCAAGCAAGTGCACGTTTTCCTTCTCCCAAATGGCCAGATTCTGTAGGGCAGTCAATCTATCAACTAAGCCAGAAAGGGAGATGGTCATTATGTTACTTGGTGTCGTTTGAAAACTTATTTTGGTTACGAAATGTTATGCAAAATAATAGTGCGCAAACAGTACTTTCTTTTATTACCAACAGACACTAAAACGTCACTGCTTACAAGGATGTCATATGATCGCCTAGCATGCCGCGTTATCATTCGCACCTAGAAATCCTCACCAGGGAGTAACCACTCCAGATATATGCATCTTTCAAACATTAGATCTAGATCAGTCGAAAATGACACGTGTGGATACTAGCCTATCAGCTTCATCCATCTAGGAGGTGGACCCCAAGAGGGTGAGAACATCAAGCTCTTGATATTGGGATTTGCTGCAAGGACAGATCTTACCGACTTCACTGAAAGGCAGGAACACTTCTCCACATCAATGTGTTCATATGAACTGCTACTTAGAAACAATCCGCAGAGCTGGTCTTCACTAAACTGTTCACACAAACTTAAGATTACTCTTCGTGGTTTTTGCATTGTTTTAAGAGCAGTGACTGCTGTGACAGGATCAACATTACAACAGTACTCCATATTTAAAATCTCCAACTTTGGCATTTTCAAAATAAAATTTAAATTTCGGATAGACAGATTATAACTGATGTCAAGTTCCAGCAGCTGTGTACATCGGCTCAAGCCCTCCTCAATGTAGCCCGTTGTCATCTCCATTTTCAGTTTTCCCATGTCATATGTGAATTGCAGAGAGTGAAAATATTCGGCATGCTCAAAGATGTGATCAAACCTTGACTTATTGTAAAAAAGGTCGTATTTAAAATGTCTCCACAAAAACGGCAAGTGGAAAATGTCTCGTAATCTTCTACAAAGAGGCGAAATGCCTCTTATAAGATCTGGCAATGGTATTAACATGAAGATCTTTACTAACATCTCCGTAGGTAAGTCACTCAGCCTTACCCACTCCTATAAAGAAAGATAGATAAGATAGTTCCACATCTCTTTATTGAAATTGTGGATTTGGACATCGATCATCAGCTGTGGAATATGCAGGTGGAAAATGAGAAATTCTGAAACACGGTATTGCGTGAC